ACATGCCATTGTACCAGGCTTTCACATGTGTGCTGGGATCCAAACTCAGGTCTTCATACTTAGGTGACGTGTTCTTTCCTGACTGGAGCCATATCACCAGCCCCCTGGTGTTTTTGTTCATTTGTTTTTGTTTCAATAGCTCTCGATATGTAGACCATGCTAGCCCCAACTTGCTTGTAGACCATGCTAGCCCCAACTTTTGTCAATACTCCTGCCTCTGTTTCCCAAGTGCTGGGATTACAGGCGTGTAATTGTGGAGGGGCCCCAAAACAGCTTGACCACACAGCTGCCATGACAGGCTTAGAGGCCCAGGCACAGCTTCTGCGACAGGTTTACTGGCAGGCAACTCCCAGACCCAGGAAAAGCCATAAGCTGATCCCACCCAGGGAGGGCCTACATCTAAGGGGAAGTACCTGACATCCCAAACATTCCAACCATTAGATAAGGTTAGATAAGATGGCCAGATGTCCCTGAGTCTAGCACATACCTGTTTTTGTTTTACAGACACCCCTAGACAAATGTCAGCCAATCAGGGTCCTGAACCCTGGAAATCCCCTCACCCCAACAGCTGCTATGATAAAAACTCTACCCCACCTGGGCTCAGGGCTCTCTGCTCTCACTGCTGCATGGGAAAGACAGAGAGACCAAGCCCCGGAGCTTGAAAATAAAGGCTCTTTGCTTTTACATACAGGATTCGCTCTCTGTGGTGGTCTTTTGGGGGTCCCTGAGATCTGGGCATAACAGTAATGCCACATCTGAGGTGGGAACTATTTTTTTTTGGGGGGGAAGGAGGGTTTATTTAGCTTACATTTCCACATCACTATTCATCATTGAAGGAAGCCAGATAGGCAACAACCTGGAGGCAAGGAGCTGATGCAGAGGCCATGGAGGGGCACTGATTACCGGCTTGGTCAGCCTGCTGTTCTGGGCTCTAAGTCTGTGCCAAGCTGATTGCAGGCAAATCTGAGAACTGGCCACTTCCAGCTTCCCATCTTCCTCGCCAAAGAAATGAAGGTCTTTGCACAAGGAGTTCATGTGTGACAGGGTTTGACATGCCCGGTGTGTTGGCATCAATAGTGTGGAGTGTGGCTATCGCAATGGATAGAGGGAGTGAGGTGCTACCAGAGAGACGGGGTGAGGCAAGCGTACAAGGTTAGCGGAGAGAGGATCCAAAGAAACAGCCTCCTCCATCGTTTCTTGATGAACCTGGGAGGGTGACAAAAGCTGGCTGAGGTTATCGAGACTGCGAACCCAGAAGAGAAGTGCAGCAGCCAGTGTGAGGGCCACTTGGGGAGACACGCATTTAAAGACCGGAATGCATCTTCTAATTGGGTGTGGTGGCTCACGCCAGGGTGGGGGCTGAGGTAGAAAAATCATGAGTTAAAGGCTAGCCTGGGTTTATATAGGAGTTCTAAGCCAGGCTAGGCTACACAGTGAGTCTCTCTCTCTGTCTCTCTGTCTGTCTCTCTCATCTCCACACATACACACACACACACACACACACACACACACACACACACACACACACACACCCCTTCAGCAGCGGCTGAGAAGTATGCACACTGGGCATGGTGTGGAGGACACACAGGAAGGGGCGAATGCCCTGCACAAAGGAATCCACATTTCCCTTTTTAGCAAACACCGGCTTTGCCAAAGGAAACATGGATATTGGCTGCACTTCCATGTCACCAGTTTGCGAAGAGCTCTGCACAGGTGTCAAAACATTGTTAGACCTGGGGTTAAAATGCAAAGACTCTTCAGTCCTTTAAAACTCAGTGGTTGGTTTTTTTTTAATAATAATAATAATCTGAGGAAAGTCAGTTTCATCTTTAATTGTTTTATTTATTCGATCATTCGTTTATTTGTACAAGAGGTGCCGGGGGTCAAAGCCACGGCTTTATGCACGCAAGGCGAGCACTGTAGCACTGAGCTACACCTCAGCCTGACTCCATTTCAAAGGAAATCCCAACTGAATAAAAGACGAAAAGCCCTGACGTTCCCCCGTCTACATATCGATAAAAAGGACATTATCCCTTACGAGAGCTATTGTCTGGTTCCTCATTGGAGGAACACGGAGGAGGAGGAGGAGGAGGAGGAGGAGGAGGAGGAGGAGGAGGAGGAGCAGGAGCAGGAGGAGGGGGAGGAGGTGTGCGTGGTGTTTGGAATACTGCGCCTTTGTACTTCGTGTTTGTCAAGTGGCACTTAACAAACGCTTCTCAGGTCCTGCGTGGGGCAATGCATAACCTGAAGGCAGAACAGTAACCTCCCTTTCGAGGTTATGAAACTCGGGGGTGGATTTCCTGCTCAAACCCTCCTCTTGCCCTTTGGGATTTATTTTTAACCTTGAACACTTTGCACTAGGCGAGGACTTCGGCCGTAGGTCTTCCAGCGGACTTAGTTAGCCCTGTGGTATCAGGGCACAGACCTGGAGATCTGTGGCTGAGTTTTAAGGGTTCTTCTTCCTGCCTGCCTGTCTCAGGACGACTGAGCAGCGTATAGTAGCTCCGCCACTGCGCTGAGCTGTGAGGCGTAAATAACCACGTGGAGACGGCACAACTGATGCTTGGACGCAGAAGCACTCAGTGTGGGCTTTAGTATCTAACATGGAAATAACAAGTGGGTGATATTTTAATACACCCAGTTTAGGAGGAGAAGAAAAGTTAGGACAGCAAACTGATAGGCCAGAGAAAGAGAAAGATAAAAATATCTCAAAAGCTGCCTATAAACCACGTGGGGGAAGTAGGAGTTAGTTCGCATTCAAAAAGCTAAAAGTCTCCATGTTCAGATACGATTTTTAATATACATGCTTATACTGAAATGGGCATAACATTCCCCTAGGAAAATAGTGGACTTCCTAGGCTGGGAGAGGTGGCTCAGCAGATCAGAGCAGTTCCTACTCCTCCAGGGGACCTGAGGTGGGTTCTCAGCATCCCACATCCAGATGCTCACAACTACCTACCTGGAACTTTAGCTCCAGGGGATCTGATGCCTCAAGTCTTCATGGTCACCTGCACTTATATGCACACACAGACACAAGCACATATGCATAATTTAAGGTAATAAAAATAAATCTTTTTTTTAAAAAGATAGTTATCTCCAGAGCAAGGACTTGAATTTGCAGCAGCAACTAGGACAATCTTTTAAAAAATGCTGTGTATCTATATTATTTATTAAAACTTCATGGTTTGTTTTCAACTTAAAGCTACTAGTTTTTCTTTTCTGTGCATCCGTGTTTTGTCTGCATGTATGTCTGTATGAGGGTATCAGATCCCCTGGAACTGGAGTTACAACTGTGAGCTGCCGTGTGGGTTCTGGGAATTGAATCCTATGAAAGAGCAGCCAGTGCTCTTAACCATTGGGCCATCTCTCCAGCGCAAAGCTACAAGTTTAAAACCCACACAGTTTTGCTGAGTCTGGATGGCCTGTAAAGGTGAGGATGTTGGCTTTATTGACAGGCAGAATCCTGATAGAGCCCTCTAGTGCCTGGTGCAAAAAAGCCCAGCACCGTCCCTGAGGCCCCAGAGCTCTCCACCAACACTGGCTGTTACCGCTAAAGCCAGTGAGGCCATTAACTAACTGCTATTACTACTTAGATTCTCCAGGACATTATCGGTGGAAGATCTGGGCACTGCAAAAGATGACATCAATGTATGCCTCATTCTTGCTAGCTCCTGATAGTGTCTTGGGTTGTAGGATAGGTGGGGCAGTTAAAAAAATGTCACTTGAATTGCTTTCAATATATTCTTTCTTTTTTTTTCCATTTTTTTTTTTTTTTTTTTTTTTTTTTTTTTTTTGGTTTTTTCAAGACAGGGTTTCTCTGTGTAGCTTTGCGCCTTTCCTGGATCTCGCTCTGTAGCCCAGGCTGGCCTCGAACTCACAGAGATCCGCCTGGCTCTGCCTCCCGAGTGCTGGGATTAAAGGCGTGCGCCACCACCGCCCGGCTTTTTTTCCATTTTAAGTTTTGCATATTCGTCAGAGGAAAACAGGCTTTAAAAAGCTTTCTCAGTTGTATATCATTCATATACCACCTTAAACTTCTATCAATTTGTTATCCGCTACTATAATTTCTTCCACATGTGCGAAATTGAGGCCATTGTTCCACATGGAGAGTTTCCTGCTGTGCTTTTATATTTAGATAAAAAGGTTCCAAACCCTCACACTTTGTTGTCTTGTATTTGCTAGTATGTTGTACGATTTTTAAAAGTGATATTTCCAGTGTCTTTAAATCATTGTTATAATTTTAAAAGTATTTAGGGAAATATCATAAAACAGAAAACAGGTTAAAAACGGTCCCCATTCTATGATCCACAGACAGCTACCCTGCGCTGCGCTTGAGGCTGCTTCCGGTTCCTCTCAGGTCTGCTTGCCTTTGTTTTTCATGCGGAATTTTAAAGTTTTCAAAGTCATTTCCTTTTTGCTGTTGACATGCAAGACCCTGAGCTTGTGAGATAGAGCAGGCATTCCTATCAGAAGTCACTCTTACTAGAAACTGCAGAGCCTGTTGGACGGTGAGGTCACTGAGAGCGTACCCACTATTTGAGGACTGGCATTGAATGATTCTGTAAATGCCAAGTCTGTGTTCCTTATGCCAGGTGTAGGTCATGCAGATTACACTCTGAACGAAGTTCTTGCAGGATGTCACATCCTCATGCAACGATCTCGAATCTTCGCCTTTGTCAAATATTTGGGCACTGAATGGAGTTCTTAGGAGCTTGGTCTGACAGCTTAAGTGGGTCATGGGTACCTGACCCCAGATCAAGGTCAGAGACCTGTGACTGGCCAAAAGGGCAGTGTGTAGATGAGCAAGCTGCGACCTCAGTACTTTTTTTCTTATCTTACTTCTCCGCGTTTCCACCCATCTCGGAGACCAATCTCGACATCTCCTCAGCCAGGCAGCTTCCCAGCTAGCCGCTGGCCTGAGTCAAAGGCTGGTGGGCGTGTTCCACGCCTGAGGCGGTGTGTTGGACCTGGTCAAGGCTGGGGAAACCAAACCACTGTATAAAGAGACTGCAGCCACCGGGCAGCACAGGCTTTGCTACGGACCGCTCGCCTCCAGTCCGCTGCTGTGTCCAGAGCCACTCACTACCCGGGAAAGATGGCACCGGTTGCAGGCAAGAAGGCCAAGAGGGTGAGTCTGCAGGGAGCCTGAGAGCGCTCTCAGTACCACCACCAGCTGGGTACCCCCCAACGGTGCCGAGGGGTGCTTGGAGCCCGCCTGTGGCCCAGCATCCTCCTCCTTGGCGGCCTTTGGTCAGAGGGGACACCCAGAACTTTTGTGTGACCCAGGGCTTCTCCTACAGAACGCACTACACTATAGGCAGCCTCTGTCTCCCTGCACCCCACGGCTCCACTTCGGACCATGGTGCACCCCGATGTGTGGGATGATTGCCTTCTGGACCCAAGGCACCCCCGCAGCCACCTCGGAAGTCAGGGCGCCCCCTTCAGCCCCCTCAGACTCTCAACACTTCGTGAGTGCAGCACCCTAAAGACCAGGGAACTCTCCCGAGAAGCTGCTCACAGACCCAGGGTGCAATTTCCTACCCAGTGGAGGTGGCCCTGGCTGGTGGCTTGCGGTGTGTCGGTGCAGGAGGGGCAGGAGGGGCAGGCAGCGGCCGAGCCCGCCTGACTGCCCGACGGTTCCTGGCTCGTGCCACCTCCCACCCGACATCCCGCCAGCTGCGGCCAGGAGGACAGGACCGCGGGGTCGTGATGGTAGGTTTCACCTGCAGTTTGTCTCAACAACCACAGAAAAATGCCTTACACCAAAAATAGTTTCGGAAAAGAATAAGTAGAGTGATTGTAAGACCCTGAGGAAGGGCTGTTCATAGAATTCTAAAAACCGAAATGCCTGCGGGTCGCACTCCTGTCTCACAAGAAGCACGTTGCTGCTTCCCAGGGTACCGCTGGACACAGGAGTTCAGTACAAAGCAGACCTTCTTCTGGGTTAGGGAGAGGAGGGATGGACGGGGAGGAGGGAATAAACTTGACTCTGATATCAAACCCAGTCACAGAAGACCCCAGGAGATGTCTGGGAGACAGATGGAGCCAGGCTGATTATACCCCTCAGTACCGCCTCCCCCGCCCCCCAAGCAAGGCATGTCCTGCTGAGAAACACCTGGGTGGCCCAGTTTGTAAAAGGAGAGCCCCCAATTCAGAAAGACACCCCCTCATGGAAGAAAGCTAAGCTTGTTAAAATTTGAGAAGGATGTAAGGCTCATGTTTTTGAATTACTGACAGTCCATTGATGTCCCTTAAAGATTGCAAAGAGGGACTCATCACACACACACACACACACACACACACACACACACACACACACACACACACACACACACACGGAGTTTGGCCCCATTTGTAGAACCATGGATTCTAATCCACTTCCCAAACTAAAGCTTAGAATCTTCTAATGGCATGTGGATGAAATCCCAGGAAAAAGGCAAGAAGACCACAGTTCAAATCCAGCCTAGCCTACACAGTGACACATGTCTGAAAAAACAGTAACTGTGTGTGTGTGTGTGTGTGTGTGTGTGTGTGTGTGTGTGTGTGTGTGTGTGTGTTGGGGGGTGGTCTTTAGAGAATTATCAAGAAACAAGTGGCATAAGGGTGCCTCCCCAATAACCTTGTTTCTGTATAAATGTTAAAACAAGAAACAAGGGCAATAATATGCCTACATATTTGCATTTAAAAGATGTTACAAGGACACATATTCATTGCAAAAAACTGGATAAAACCCAAAGAACAGAGCCTGCAATATTTTGATATTTTTATTCTGCTAGTTACCTAGGCAGATACATACTTTAAAAAATAAAATGATATTACATATACTCCTTTGTAATAATTCTTCACACACACACACACCAACTAACCTTTTCATAGCACATTCCACTGTTTAGCTTAGGAACAAAGAAATTCTGATGTCTACGTAACTAAAGACTTAGTAGAGTCTAAGTGTATGCTGATAACCACTCAGCCATATGATTGGCATAATAATTAAATCACCACTCCCCCTATTTCCAAAGATCAGATTTCTGGCTATGCTGTGTATTAAAGTGCTGTGGTACTAAATTTGAAAACATGTTCAGGGAGAGCTGTTAACTGCCACAATGTCACTAGTTATTTCCACCCAAAGTGAGTCATAGCTTATGTATGGGACCATTGTTCATGTGAGTGATATATACAAACACACACACACACACATAACATACATATACTATATATGTATACATAGTGTATGTATATATGTGTGTATATGCATACATATACTTGTTAATTTGTATATATATACACATATATACTTGTTAATTTAAGATGTAGTGTTTAGACACATTGTAGTCATGATGAATATTTGGATTTCAAAATTGCACATGAGCAATTCTATATCTTTATAGCTGTTTGTTAACTCCCAGACTTCCAGACTAAGGCAATAGGTAGCATACACCCCCATGTAATTTCCAGTTCCACAGTGAAAATGTCAATGGTTTCTGAGCACTTGCTGTCAGAAGGCATGGGGTGGGGCTGTGGAGGGTTGAAATGAAGGAGGCGCTAAGAAAATGGACAGGAATTTTGGTGCAAAAGCCTGTGATTCCTCATGCTGTTTATGTAGCCCATGCTCTCTTCTCCTTTCTAAAAATCTGCAGATGTGGCTAGTAAACAGAATGGAATAAGTGTGCACATACCAATGTATCCCTCAGAATTATTCAGAGCTGCCCCTCCCTCCCTCACCTCCTGAAATGAAATCTAGAAACCATTTAAGGATGCAAGTGATAAGGATCTTGAATAAATTATTCAGAGACTTTCATTCCCCATTTCTAAAATCAAAGAAAGAACTTGAAGATATGGTATGTTTAATTTAAAATTCGTGATTCTTAGAAACTGGAAAAACAGTTATACTAGTAAATTACCTTCACATCCATAAAACTCCTTTCCAATTCACAGTTCAAAATTCATCTCTTGCACCTGGGCACAGTGGCAATTGTTCCACAGCACTGAAATGGAGTAGCTATGGAGAGTGGACTGGAAGTCATCTCATGAACGCTGTGCCTGTCGCTTCCCTGTTCTTGGCATGGAGTACAGGATGCACGTAGTTACAGACTCCTGGGTGCATAACAGATCTGCTGTTGCAGAGGACGCCAAGAACAGAGCCCATAAGAGATTTGGCCACCTCTGTTCTAGCTGTCCCAGGTGTCATGTGACTTTTCGGTCTTCTACCGCAGCACTCTATGCTACCCCCACATCTTTGGCAGTGTTAAGCCTCTCTCTCATTATTGATAGAGCAAGAAGATGGGCTGTCATCCTTTAAGAACACGCACCCCTGGTGATGTATCTCAGTAGCAGAGTCTTGCCGAGCATGCACAGCTCCTGAGCTAAGTTTCCAGCACTTCTAAAAAAGAAAAAAGATGGGCTTTCTCCGAGTGGCCATAGTCTACAATCTATTGCATATTTTATAAGGAATTAGAGGAAAAGAATTTAAGGATCCCAACCCCCCCAATAATAAATGATTAATAAAATTGAAATCCCAATTGCCCTAATTTGCTCATTATTCACTGTTTATGAACTGAATTATTATATTATGCCCATAAGTATGCAAAATTTAAAAATATATATACAAATGGGAAAAATTTGTGTTTTTTTTTTTTATCCTGTTGGGGATAGAACCCTCAGCCTCGGGCATGTTAGGCAAGTGCTCTACCACTGTGCTGTAGCTCCAAGTAATTTATCATGTGTACTGAAAGACTTCCAGGCTATGCACATACCCACAAACCCAGCACATACACATGAATATACCAATTTTTCAATAGCTGAGCATTCTAAATAAAGTAATGTATAAAACCCATAATAAATTAATGTATACAATATAAATATATTTTTCTGATATTGATGCAAAAACACAGCTCTTACCTAACAGTTTATTCTGGAGTCACTCTGAGTGGTTATGGCTCAAGTCACTCTAGATTCCACATTCCATTATCGTACCAGCTTGACAAAGTTTTATAGCCATACAACAAAGACATTCGTAAGCAAAGGCACTCTTTAAATACATTGGTGGAAATGTTAGGTAGGCCAGTTACAGCAAAGCAGAGAAACTCTGTTATCAGCCTCAGACACTATCTGACAGCATTCATAGCCCTTTGGTTGGTTGGAAACTGGGGGTCTGTTGGAACATTCCAGAGGATTTACCTAAGTGTCACAAAGATGTTAGGTCATGTACAGAGGAAGACAATTAATGACCATTAAGAGGATGATTTGGCTCTGGACTTGCAACATTTCAAACTCTCCTCGTCACTGAAGTTTTCTTTTTCTTTTTCTTTTTTTAATGTATGTTTATTGCTCTATCTGCATGTACACCTTTATGTCAGATGAGGGCATCAGACCCACCCACCCCCACTATAGATAGCTGTGAGCCACCATGTGGTTGCTGGAAATTGAACTCAGGACCTCTGGAAGAACAGCCAGTGCTCCTAACCATTGAGCCATCTCTCCAGCCCCATCACTGATGTTCTAGTTAGCCAGTCATCCTCGCAAAGGTGGAAAGGCATTCACACTAAGAGTGCTAGAGACACTATACTTCTCAGGAATACATGTGCAAAATCACCGAAGATAGAAAGTGTCTTTGAAACTCAACTCCCTCCTCTCCTCGTCTGTAAATTCAGGGAATCTTAGAACGTTTAAACGCTGGAGAAGTTGTGATCGGAGATGGAGGATTTGTCTTTGCGCTGGAAAAGAGGGGCTACGTCAAGGCCGGACCCTGGACCCCGGAAGCTGCTGTGGAGCACCCGGAGGCAGGTTGGTGCACGCTCCATTGAAAACTTCGATAATGTGTGCTATGTTGAATGAACCTCAAGAGCCAACCACGAGGCAGGTGCATGCTTGCAATGTTTCCTATGCCTGCTGTTGACCCTGAGCACTGGCAGCCATCGGTGCAGATTCGCAGGCTGCAAAGCACAAAGGCTGTCCCTGCTTCTACAGACAACCCACCACCTGGTCCCGGCCCTTCACTTTAGATGAGTCTAGAACGTGGATCATCACCTTTTTCTCTGCCCCTCTCCCCCCTCACCAATCTCTGTGTATTCACTGTTCATACGGACAATCCACCCAGCAGTTTGGTAACGCCTGAATCTCCTCTTCAGGGAACTTTCCCCTTGTCATACCTCTGCCACCCACCCTAAAATTTACCATTACCAGGAGATGTCCACACAGGATGCGCTGACAACAAGCCGCCTCTTGACGCCCACCTCTTGTCTTCCTGTCCCTCTCTGTAGTCCTCCCATTCCTCCATCTCATGAAGACCCTCCATCTTTTGTTCCAACCAAACTCTGATCATTCTCCCTCATGGGCCTGTCCTTCTCTTGTACATGTCAGGGTCCGTGGTACCACATCATGTCCCTCCATCGTATATTTAACAACTAGCTCCGTTCACATTACTTCAGCCCAGGCCTGTTTGCAGTCAACTACCTGCCTGTCTCTACCCATTCCACGCACCTTATTCCCATTTGACTTTTTAAACCACCAATCAATAGTAACCAGGAAGGAACAATTGCTGTCTTCCAAGGCAGAGGTCTCTACAGATTCTTTTTTGTTTGTTTGTTTTTGTTTTCTTGAGACAGGGCTTCTCTGTGTAGCTTTGGAGCCTGTCCTGGATCTCGCTCTGTAGACCAGGCTGGCCTCGAACTCACAGAGATCTGCCTGCCTCTGCTTCCCGAGAGCTGGGATTAAAGGTCTTTGCCCCCACTGCCAAGTTCTCTGCAGATTTCTAAGCAAAAGGAAAGCATTCATCTTTAAATGGGAGGAACTGGGACTGGACAAATGTCTCAGTCGTAGTTGTACTTTCTCGTCGGGACCACCAGCTCACAAACAATGATATGGAGACTTCTTACTAATTATGAAAGCTTGGCCTTCGCTTAGGCTTTTCCCCAGTAGTTCTTCTAACTCAATGAACCTGCTGCGATTAACCTACATTCTGCCTCGTCATTTGCTTACCTCTCCTCTGTACGGCATGTCTGATTGGTTTCACATTTTGCTGGCATCTGCCCGCCTCCCAGAGTTCTCTCTCTCCCTGGAAATCCTGCCTATTCTCTTCTGCCTAGCGACTGGCCACTCTGCTCTTTATTACACCAATCACAGCCATACCTCTTCACTCAGTGTACAAATATCCCACAACCCTTGTGCTGCTCCTCAAGCACAAGGACCTGAATTCTGCCCCCACCCCATAACACAACCCACATAAAAAGGTAGATGCCTGTAATCCAAACACTGGGGAGGCATCAATGGAGGATCTCCGATGCTTGCTAGCAAACCAGTGAGCTTTGGGTTCAGTGAGAGACCCCATGTCAAAAAGTTAGGTAGAAAGCAATTGAGAAAGACATTCATTATCAACCTCTGGAACACACACACACACACACACACACACACACACACACACACACCTGTGTGGGGCGTTTACCCAACCACCCCCACAGTTCCCCAGAGTTTTCTTGAGTGCGAGCAGCAGGAAATATTAGATAGAAGGATTCATTGCGGAGAATCTTGAGGAGATAAACAGATAGAAAATAAAGGATAGCCTCGAGAGGGCCTGGAACCTATTCCAACAGGCCCCGACTGTCTCTGCCCCAGGGTTTTTATAGAGACGCCAGGGGGTGGAGCAAAAGACCTCCACCCCCAGCACAGCCAAGTGCAGACCATCTCAGACACCTGCACTCAGGCCCGTGGTCCTAATCATCCTCTATGTGGACCTGCTGGGTAAAGCCACGAGGAACCCGAGAACGGGCTCCCACACACCTGGAATGAATTACTTCTCTGGCCCAGAGCATTCTGGAAGGGATCTGTGTTCTCAGAGTTCTTGCATGAATCGACTCACACGTTATCACCCCTGTCTTGAGGTCCCATTTCTCTCTAATCGGTACCCTGACTTTAGCGTAGCAGGCCTGTCTGGTTGATACTCCAGCCTTCAGGAGCTCCGCTTCTGTGTAACTTTGGTGCTAGATGGTTAGCTCTTTCTGCTCTCTAGATACAGGAGATGAGCCTCTACCAAGCCTTCCAGGAGGTCCTGACCTCCACACTCTGCCTTCAGCTGGGATAATTTACCCTGAATCCTTCACTATCTTCTTCTAGTCTGTTGATGGCACTCCACAGCAGATAGAACATGGCCGCAGACCTCTCATCCATCTGGGAAACTGTCCCTTTTGCCCCCCTTTTCAGGGGCAGTCACCACAGTTCACCAGAGGTGAACATTTTCATTGTATCTCCCTGTGAGCCTGCCAGGAGCTACCAATGACGAGGGTGGGGTACTCACTCCTGGTGGGTGGGAATGCTTATCATTGGCTTGAGGAAACTACTGAAAAACATTTTGAAGTTGGAGCTCCTTCAGGCCATCACCCCCAACACTGCAAAGGAAAAACAGAAAGAAAGCCAAAAGAAACTGTTCATTTTCTGTCTGTAGCAGGGTCAGAAAAGACAGATCTGTAACACATCCTTCCTGGGACCATTCTTACAGGATGGTGGCTGTGTTTGCCTTTTCGGGGAAGGTTTTATATATATATATATATATATATATATATATATATATATATATATATATATATATATATATATATTTGAAACATTGATGCTGAGGGCTGGGGGGATGTAGCTAAGTATTAGAATACTTGCCTGACATACAGAAAGACCTGGGTTTACGCCTTAGTACCGTGCAAAAACAAGAAGAAAAAATACTCACTCTCTGAATGGGTGGGGTGATCAGTTGCATGTATATTTTATGCAAATAAAACTATGTGTCTACCGGTGATTTTTTTTTTGTTAAGTTTGACTGAGCAGTAGCTAGAATTGACAGAGGCCCTGAGGAGGTTTCCTGTAAGCTGGACTTGATGTGAAACACTTTATGCAAGTGCAGCAAGACCTGAATGTTCAGTGCTGGAGGCAGAACCAGAAAGGAAAGGCTGTGTTATGGTCCCATGACCCCCATGCAAACCACGTGGGGATCAGATGTAGGCCCTGAGTTCTAGAAATGTGAGGATTTCAGAAAGTTGCTTCTATAGTGCATATGCTGCATGTTGTACAATACTCCCATAGGGTCCTACAGCAACCCCCTCAATTAAATGTGTTGACCCCCAAACCCCCGTACTGGGGATTGAACTCAGGGTTTCAGACATGCTAGGCTTGTGCTTTATCATGGAATTACCTCTTCAGCCCTGGATTATGTTTTATTCATATGTTCTATTCATTTGTATTTTTTGAGACAGAGTGTCCCTAAGTTCCCTAGGCTGGCCTGAAACTCATGATCCTTCTGCTCAGCCTCCAGTGCTGGGTTTACCAAATCCACTACACCCAAACCTCATTACTTTAAACATCAATGTATATGAGTACTGACACCCATACTTTCGTGTTAGTTCAGGTCACCTTTTGCTCCCAAGTGATGTTTCTGCCAACTTAATATTCCACTGGATTATAGTTTTGACTTGATAAAGCAGTGATTCTCAACCTGTGGGTCGCAGCCTCTTGTGGGTCAAATTACCCGTTCACAGGGGTGCCTAAGACCATCAGAAAACACAGAGATTTACATTATGACTCATAACTAGCAAAATCACAGTTATGAAGTAGGAATAAAAATAATTTTATGGTTGGGGCTCACCACAGCATGAGGAACTGTATTAAAAGGTGGCAGCATTAGGAAGGTTGAGAACCACTGTTGTAGAATAGGCTTGAAATTTCAAAAACTTGGATTTCTCAACTGGACATGGAGGCACACACCTTTAATCCCAGCACTCAGGAGGCGGGGGGCAGGGGGATCTCTGTGAGTTCTAGGCCAGCCAGGACTGCATAGTGAGAGCCTGTCTCAAAAGAGAGAGAGAGAGAGAGAGAGAGAGAGAGAGAGAGAGAGAGAGAGAGAGAGAATGAAGGAACAAATTGGTTGAAAGTAAAGAGATGTCTCAGTTATTTGGGCTCCCTAGGAAAGTCTATAAAAACATAGACTTTCTGTATTATAGAATGTACGTGTACACAAACAGGTACACAAACATCTCCTTCCAGGATGTTTTCGTGGGCTTTCTAGAAATCCACTCGTGGACCACCTTGGTGGACTTTCTGATTATAAATCATGCCATCCTAGTACCTGGGGTCTCAGTCTGTACTCCTAAATCCCCGGTAAAATTCCTCTCCAACTCCAGCAGCTCAGCGTTAGTTTGATAGGGGCTCCCTATGTGCTGTTTTTATCTGATTCCAGGGCTAATTAAAACGAGCTTTAAAGCTTAGGTGCGTGGTTAAGTTCCTTTCCCACGGAGAGCTGAAGTTCCCGTGATTAAAAGAGAGGAAAATCATGAAAGGGTTGGCTTCAAGCTTGGGAAGCTGTTTTCTAAAGTAGGGGAGCTTTTTTCTCACTGGTTCGTCCATTCAAAAACAAAAAACCGTGGGTTTCTGCAGTCTAGGCACTCAACTGGAGCATAGGCACCACTCCAGCCTTGCCCTCCAGTGCCCCAGCTCACTTCCCGGTCTCTGACACAGCTGCCCTCATCTGGGTTTTATAGGCCTCTGACAGTTCAGAACACATTCCAGGGATCTGCAAGGCTGCTGGTCCCTTCCTTTGCCTGGCTAATTCCCCTGACAAACACGAACACTAAGATTCTCATTCTATAAGAGGAGTGCTTCTCATCTGTCTTAGGATGACAGTTCTCAGCAAGGCTTAAACCAAGAATCAACCAGGGAACCTTCAAAAAAATAAAAATGAAAGACAAAAATAATGCCTGAATCCCACCCAAAATGAGCTAGAATATCTGTGGGTTTGACCCTCCCTCACACCTATCATTTTTAAAAAACCTGCAGGGGGCCTGATAAGCACCATAGGTTTAGAGGCAATATTTTAGAGCCAAGTACAGCTTTGTAAATTGAATATAGGTAGCTATGTGGGAGACAGTTTCCACATACGTCTTCAGCCATGAAAGTGTTTCTACTTGCCATTCATCTATGGGCTTAGAGTTGAAGGCAGTGCTCCAATTCCCATTTTACTGAACATTCACATTCTCTCTGTCTCTGTCTCTCTCTCTCTCCTAAGATTTATTATTTATTAATTATATGCATGAGGTGAGGAGGTACCCTGGGAGGCCAGAAGAGGTCATCAGATCCACTGGACCCAGAGTGACAGGCGGTTTGTAAGTCTCCTGGCCTGGGTGCTGGGAACCAAACACAGGACCTTTGCAAAGGCAGCTGGTGCTCTTAATCCGTGACCCACAGAATCATCTTTTAATGCTGGAGGACACTGATTCACCACTGTAATCCCAGCACCTGAGAAATAGCGGCAGAAGGATCAGTTGGAGGTTATCCTTAGCTCCAGAACAAGTTTGAGGCTAGCTTAGGCTACATGAGACCGGTTTTAGTTACTTTTCTATTACTGTGACAAAACACCATGATCAGAGCAACTTAGAAAAGAAAGCATTTAATTACACTTACAGTTTTAGTCCATGATGACAGAGAAAAGGCATGGTAGCAAGTTGCCAAAGCAGCAGCTGAGAGCTCATCTCTCTGTCTCTGTCTCTGTCTCTCTCTGTCTCTGTCTCTCTCTGTCTCTCTGTTTTTTTTGAGGCAGGGTTTATCTGCATAGCCCTGGCTGTCCTGGAATTAGCTCTGTAGATCAGGCTGGCTTCAAACTCTGCCTCCAGAGTACCGGGCTTATAGGCACGCATCACCACAACCCTGCTGAGAGCTTCACATTCTCATAAGAAGGAGGCAAAGTGAACCCCCAAATGGGGAGAGTCTTTTTAAATCTCAAAACCAAGCCCCAATGACACACCCCCTCCAACAAGGCCACACCTCCCAATCCTTTCTAAGTAGTTCTACCAACTGGGAACCAAGAATTCAAACACATGAGCCTATGGGGGCCATTTTCATTCAAACCATCACAAGACCCTTTCTCAAAACACAATCAAACAGAAACTCAAAATGATCATTCAGAAAACACTGGGCTAATCACACATATCCCTGAGGTCCAGAGCATAATCTTTGGGGTGTCAGACTCGTAGGCCATTTGTACTCAACTGGTGTCCTGACACTTCCCACACATCTCTTCAGTCTTCATCTAGACTTCCTTCATCCCCCAAATGCCAAAGCTGATCCTACCTTGTGTTTGCTCAGGCTGCTCCCTCTACAGGGGCTTGCCTTCCCACTTCCACCCTGTAAGAACCTGGAACTCCAACATGCAGCCCAATGACTTCTCTTCCTGTGGTAGTGAGCAGCTCCTACAGAGCCCCTCCACACACTGCTTCAGTCAGGTGTCCTCGAATGGATCATGAGATATTCCCAAGGACGAGAAAGCAGATTGGTCTCCTCGTGTTGATTAGTGCCTTCCGCAACGAGTCATGGACAAGTTGACAAGGAGCAAACTAAACCAAGAACACATGGGGGAGAGGGGCAAATTCAGTGCCATGGGCCCTACCCCCTGCCCTCTCCAACCACCCAACCATCTAGCCACAGCAGCTTGGAGAGAGGTTCCAGGAGACCCAGGTTGCCCCCTCCCTAAGCCCAGTGTGAATGCCAGGCTGCTGAAACAGCCATTTTGATGTTTGTTCACCTGAGAGCCCCTAGAAAGCCTTGCGCGTGGGTGTGTGGGTGGAATCACGGATCTGCTTGTGCTCTCCTCCAGTTCGCCAGCTTCACAGGGAGTTCCTCAGAGCCGGATCAAACGTCATGCAGACCTTCACTTTCTACGCCAGTGAAGACAAGCTGGAGAACAGAGGGAACTACGTGGCAGAGAAGATATCTGTGAGTGCCACCCGCCATGGCCACTACCTGTGAAGGACACCACAGATACTCCACTCCACAAGTTCCCACAGAGAAAATCTAGAGTTTTGTTCTATCACCAAAATAAGAGACATGTGACTCGCATTCTCAGGGCCGAGGTGCTCTCTCTAAGATGAATGGGAAGGCATTTCGGAGGCAGATTAAAGTCTACTCAACAATGTGTCCTGCTCCTACGTTGCTAAACAAAGTGGCATCTTTGCAGGTCCATACATCCCCACACACTCCTTTTTGAGACAGAATCTTACTATGCAGCCAGGCTGGCCTCGAACTCACAGAGATCCACCTGCCTCTGCCTCCCGAGTGCCGGGATCAAAGGCGTGCAGAATACAGGGGACAGCAAGCCTGAGCACTGCCCAGTTCAGCGGCAGTCGCTTCTGTCATTGCCAAACCCTTTGCTCATCAGGGCTGAGATTTTGTCATATCTAAAACCAATTGGGGGCTCTGAAATCCTGACAGTCTGAATGACCTGTGGTGCTGGGTGTCCTGGGGTTTTGTTCATTTTTGTTGTTGTTTGGGAAGGTGGTTGGTTTGTTTTGCTTTATTTTTTTAAGATTAATTTATTTATTACATATACTACTGTATATGTCTGCATGTATGCCTGCAGGCCAGAAGAGGGCACCAGATCTCATTACAGGTGGTTATTAGCCACCATGTGGTTGCTGGGAATTGAACTCAGGACCTCTGGAAGAGCAGTCAGTGCTCCTAACCTCTGAGCCATATCTCCAGCCCGCTGTTTTGCTTTATTTTTTAAGGATAAAATGGGATTTTGTGGCCGTTGTCTGTAGTGAGGGGTGGAACCCAGTACCTCAAACATGCTAGTCAAGAGCCCTGCCCACAAGCTACACCCCAGATCAGGTGGCCCCACATGCACTCCTGGGCACTCAAGAGACTGAGTTGAGAGGGTCGCTTGAAGGTGACAGGATGAGACTATCTCAGCACAAAACAAGCTAGCCCGGGTTGTGCATGCCTGTGATCCCCGCACTTGGGAGATGAAGGCAGGGGTATCAGGAGTTCAAGAACACCCTGGGCTAAGTGTGATTCTACTTCAAAAAACCAAACAGAAATGCCATCCTCCAGGCCGGCTCAATCTTAAACGTCTAAATGATTAGAATGGGCCTTACTCGGTATGTATTTATTGTGTAAGAAATACACAGTAGTCATGAATTTGGTCATCATTCTAATTGGATTTTAGTCTTATTAATCATAAAGGCTATTATCTCCTGTCACCACCACAATAATTTGCTAAGTATTGATCTAGGTGCAGGTTTGGAATTGGAAAATTCTGCATTAGTCCTTTTCATGTAAAAACTGTTTTCATATAAAATCTCATCGATTTTTGACCAAGAGCTGTAGACTCGATGTTACCACTGCCTTGCCATTGTCTTCGTGATTGTTAATGTAGTTTTACAAAGTTCAGGACTCAATAAACCATTGATCTACACAACCCTTGTTTTCTGAGATAAAAACAATGATTTTAAAAATAAAATCGAAAGGCAGGCATGTAACTAATCATTTTTTCTTCAGTTTCGCGTGTAAATTTAGATGTGTCCTCTCCTCACCCACTCTAGGGGCATAAGGTCAATGAAGCTGCCTGTGACATTGCCCGTCAGGTGGCTGATGAAGGGGATGCCTTGGTTGCGGGAGGGGTGAGCCAGACGCCTTCATACCTCAGCTGTAAGAGTGAAACAGAAGTTAAAAAAATATTCCAGCAACAGCTGGAGGTCTTCATGAAGAAGAATGTGGACTTCCTCATTGCTGAGGTAAGCAAGGATAATCCATGACCGGACGAAACCCCTTTCTCTAGCCTTCTGCTCTCTCCATGTCAACGTGGGGTGGTGTTCAGATCTCAACACAGAGCAATACTATTTAGCTTTGAGATATTTTTCCATCTAAGACTTCTGCTAATGTTGACTCAATTCACTGAATACAGTAGATTATCATCAAACCTTTTTCTTTGATTCACACTAAGGAACTGTCAACTCCATTCTATTCTGCATCAAAACTGCTTAGTAAATGGGTTACCATTAGACAGTTCCTCAGGTAATAGCAGAGTGGCATTCTTACTGCTTTGTGGGAAACATGATTAAAATGTTCTTCCCTTCACTGATTTCAGTATTTTGAACATGTGGAAGAAGCTGTGTGGGCGGTAGAAGCATTAAAAACATCCGGTAAACCTATAGCGGCTACCATGTGCATTGGGCCTGAAGGAGACCTGCATGGAGTGTCGCCCGGAGAGTGTGCTGTGCGTCTGGTCAAAGCAGGTAACCATACATTTCCGTCAGTTTGCCACTAGTGACCTTTTAAAATAACATAAAGAAAATGCACTGTTGCAGGAATCAATACATCCTGTGGTATGTGCCAAGGAAATAGACACAGAAAAGCCACAATTTTACTTTGTATACACGTGGAGGGATATCCATGTTCGTGTGTGTGTGTGTGTGTGTGTGTGTGTGTGTGTGTGTGTGTGTGCACATGTGGAGGCCCAAGGTAAACGTTGGCTGTCCTCCTCTGTTGCTTTTTCACCTTATTTCTTAAGACAGGGTCTCTCACTGAACCCGGAGCTCATTGATCAGCTAGACTGGCTTGGCCACTGAGCTCCTGGAAGCCCATCTTGACCACAACAGCACGAAGGCTACAGGCGTGTGCTACTATGACCAGCTCTTTATTTGGCTGCTGGGGTTCTAAAGTTAGGATCCACTGAGCCATCTCCCCAACTCACCAACTTACCTTTTTAAGGAATGGTCAAATTTCATTCTCTAATCCCCAAGCCACAGCAAATGCATGGCAGCCTTTTGAAAGGGGCAGCCAGACATATGGCTGGAGGTTTAATGCTTAGAAACAAGAAGAATGTTCGGGTAAGTCCAAAGAAACGTTAGGAGAAATCGTGTTTTATTTAAACGTGTCTCAAACTGAGAATCTTTAAACATTAATAACTTCAAAGTTAGTTGTCTCTTTGCCAAAGTTTTTCCTTTCTCATAGTGGCTAGCTTGCTTTGCTTCGTGTAATTGGTATAATAAATCAAAAGAAATGTTGATATGAAATACTAACCACCTAATATATCTTTTTATCCAATTTCTGTTCCTAACATTGGGTTTCATTTCAATTAGGAGAAACTCACAGGCTGTTTTCTAAACTGTCGCATTTTAAATCCAAGTTATAACTCAGTGTCAGGGGAAGAACGACCCACTCTGTGAACTAGAGACACTTCAGTGACTTGTTTAATTTACGGTTCTTACCCACCTCGTGATTGTTCATAAAAATCTTTTTCATACTTACCATTAACAGTAACCAATATTTATATTTAGGAAGGAAATGGTATAATACTAACTTTTATGGGAAATATAAAATGAGGAGAGGGGTAAGTTAGCTGTCTACAAGAGGACAAAAGGGAACGCCATCATTTGTGTTGGTAATTGGCAGGCATGCTGGGCCTGCAGCAAGCCCTTCCCCATCATTCTGCTGGCCCTTCACGTCCTGTGCACCAGCAATAAGCCTTCAAAGGTAACCTCACTTATTTCATGTACTGTTTAAACTCTCCCTCCTCCCTAGATTAACATCCGTGAAGGTGGAGAGTAGGTCTGAACACTCTGTGGCTAGGACAGTGCCTGTCACATAACGGACTTTTAATAACCCCTGTCTAATAAACCCAGTCCATCTCCCGATGTTTAGCTCAGATTTTATCTCCGTGTGCCTGACATGGCCAGCCCGGCCCTGAGAGCACATCACTTTCTAGTTATACCACTCATTTGGAATATCTGCAGTTGGCATTTTTCCACCTATGAAAATGTTGGTAGGTCGGATGTATTTAGAATATGCCATGCTAAACCTAGCTGTGCATGGATCTCCACTGCAGACTTAGCAGAATCCTTGACACATCTTTATGTCACGCCAGTATCCAAGAAGGAAATGTGATGTATAGCCATTACCTAGTTTAATTCATCATAAAACCTTACGTTCATGGGCCAAATCTTGGAAAGTACTGAGCTAAAATATAAAGTCTGTGATGTCAGAGATCACATTATATCTATATTTTCTCTTACAAGGAACCTTACGTCTAGCAAGTATCTAATAAATAGCCAATATATAATTAATTAATCGTTATAAAAATTAAACAAAGGAAGAGAAGCTGTGGGCACTCCACGTTCAAAATCAAGGTAAAAAGGTCAAGATCCAGGTGAGAATGGGTGTGGTGTGTGCACACCTGTAACCCAGTGCCAGGGAAGCTGAAGCAGGAGGATGGCTTGGAGTTTGAGACCAGCCTGGGCTACAGAGTGAGACCTAGTCTCACAAAAACTCCAAGTGAAGATGTAAAATAAACAGAGGTAGGTAGGATCGCTCTCTCCGAGCCTGAAGCTTGCCACTTAGGTGGGCTGGGTGGCCAGCAAGCTCCTGCCTGGGATTGGCCTGTCCCCACCCCGCCCCCCACCCCAGTGTGGTGCTTACAGTCTTCCACAGCTTTGCCAGTGGTTTGGTAGGCACCGAATTTGAACTCAGATCCTCTTGTGTTCACAGCAGGTGCCATCTCCCCCAACCTTTTACCAAATGTTTTTAAATTCAAAAAAAGAAAGAAAGAAAGAAAGAAAGAGACTGTAATGGGAAATCCTCTCATGTTGAGAGGATAGAGCAACAGCACGCTGCCCCTTCAAATCTTTTGAATGAGGAAATTTCCAAAATCATACCTAACGATGGCCACCACGGGTCATCCTGGGTCCAGATGCAGGACATAATGACTATAAAAGGATTTTGGGTGGGTTTTTTTTTTTGAGACATCTAAAACATATTTGTCGAATTCAATCAAGCATCACAACAACAGATTTCAGAAGAACACACACGTTTAAGGGTGACAGCTCCGTATAGCTTCCTGTCTGAGAGGCTGATATGCAAATGAGAACTTTGTCCACATGACTGATAGGTGTTAACCAGATTAGTCACCTCAAGTCAGAAGAGGGTTTTTTTCCCCCAAACTACTTGTCCTAGACACAAAATTCTTTCTCAGAAACAGAGTTCAAAAAAAAAAAAAAAAAAAAAACAAAGGACTTTTTCCCTTTCTTCTTTCTGCTGCTGTGCCCAAGAAGTCTTTGTGAACTTATTAAACATGCCTGGTGAGAGAGGACATTTATTCTGGCTTCAGATGAGCAGCGTGATGGTAAACACAGGCGCCAGGCAGCAGCTGGGAGTGTTGAAAAATTATCGTGCTCGCCACATAATGTCAAACCCTGAAAAACTGACGGCTGAAATTGAAAGTAAAAAATAAAAAATAAAGCCTCTAATAATGATTAAAAAAAAAAAAAAAAAAGATGGACAGCCCCACGTACTTAAGTGACACTTCAATTATACCAGACTCTTCCGAGCACTTTTCCCAGAAAACACTTCCTGGCTGCTCGCGATCGCTCTTGCTCAGGGGTGACAGAGGTTAGGGTGAGTGAAGGAAGACCAAATGCTGTCCTTCAATTCATCGCCGGGTACACGCTTCCCGCTGGAGACAGGAGCATTGAACCTGCCAGAACCCAGCATCTCCCCGCAGCTAACCCGCCCCTCCCACCTCCAGGAGCCTCCATCGTGGGGGTGAACTGCCACTTCGACCCCACCACGAGCTTGCAGACCGTGAAGCTCATGAAGGAGGGTCTGGAGGGCGCTCGGCTGAAGGCGTTCCTGATGAGCCAGCCCCTGGCCTACCACACCCCCGACTGCGGCAAACAGGGATTTATCGATCTCCCCGAGTTCCCCTTCGGTAAGACAGACGTCCTTATAAATTGTCTCAGTTATCTTTGCTTGAGAAATCCCAGATGGATTCGTGCAGCCGGAGAGAGAGCTTTTGTCGTGGGAGAGAGATGGCTGTACTGTCATCTCTGGCCCCTCGATTCTGTCCCCGCAGCCAACACTTCACATTAGGCATGGGCGGGGCAGATCGGCCCGCCATGGCAACACCAACCACGAATTTCAGTGCGAACCAGCGGCTGCAGCCTCGGAGTTGATGAAAAGGCCGTCCTCTGGGGTGCGGGGTGGGGGTCTGTAGGGAGCAGGTCCTGATTCTAGCTCTGTTGCCGCGGTGTGTGACCTCAGGAAATATCCTTTCATCCCTTTGCTTTATTTTTTCAATCACAAGAATAAGACTAAATGACTTACTTCCAAAGCCCTATTCCCTCTTTAAAAAGTATGTTAATTGTGTATGTGTGTATGTGTGTGTACGTGTGTGTGAGAGACTGAGAGACAGACAGAGAGAGAGAGAGAGAGAGAGAGAGAGAGAGAGAGAGAGAGAGAGAGAGAGAGAGAGAGAGAGAGAGAGAGAGAGACGTTTACATGTAGACATGTACATACATGTGGAGGCCAGAGAAGGGCATCAGGTATCCTACCCTCTCGTTTTCCACCCTTTTTAAAGATTTATTTCTAATTATGTGTATACAGATGTGTGCCTGTGTGTGGGTATGTGCACTCATGAGTATAGGTGCCGCAGAGTCCAGATATTTGTGAGCCGCCAACATGGTCCCAACCCAGGTCCTCACGCTTGAGCAGGAAGTGTTGTTATTCACTGAGCTGTCTCTCCAGCCTTTCTCATTTTTTTTTTTTTAATAAAAAGAATTCAGACACAATATCATTTGTTCCAGGCCTGGAGCCCAGAGTTGCGACCCGATGGGATATTCAAAAATACGCCAGAGAGGCCTACAACCTGGGCGTCAGGTACATCGGCGGCTGCTGCGGATTCGAGCCCTACCACATCAGGGCGATTGCTGAGGAGCTGGCCCCGGAAAGGGGTTTTTTGCCTCCGGCTTCAGAGAAACACGGCAGCTGGGGCAGTGGTTTGGACATGCACACCAAACCCTGGATCAGAGCAAGGTCAGTCCCTCTCTACTCCAGCGGCTTCCCCTGTGTCCAAACGGGGCCATGGAAGGACCCTTCCCATTCCCTGCACCACGAGGGTGGGCTAGCTCCTCCTCCTCAGAGCCCCTCACAGAGCCGCTCCCAAAGCGTCTTCCCAGGTGATTTAGGGAGCCGACTTCAAGACAGATTGTAATTTAAACAGCGTGCCAATGTGGGTCTGTGCTCCGGTAGAGCACCACCACAGCATGCCGATGTGGGTCTGTACTCCAGTAGAGCACCACCCACGATTCCACTAACGCTGAATCACTTGAATTGTAAAGAGCTGAAGCCGGGTGTAGCGGTGCGTGCCTTTAATCCCAACGCTAGGGAAGCAGAAGCAGTCAGATCTCTGAATCCGAGGCCAGTCTAGACTACAGAACAAGTTCCAAGACAGCCACGGCTACACGGAGAAACGCTGTCTCAAAACAAACAAACAGGCAATGGGATGGGATCACAGAAAAAGGGCTCTGCAGTTAGTTGTTTTTATTCTTTTGGGGGGCCCACCCCCCAGTTCCCAAATAAATCATACACAGAGGCTTAGTCTTACTTATAAATGTCCGGTCTCAGCTTGGCTTGTTTCTTGCCAGCTTTTCTTAACTTAAATTATCCCATCTACCTTTTATCTCTGGACTTTTTCCTTTTCTTAATTCTGCAAATCTTACTTTCACTCCAGTGTGTGACTGGCTGGGTGGCTGGGAGGCTGGGAGGCTGGGTGGCTCGGTGGCTGGGAGGCTGGGTGGCCGGGTGGCTGGCTCCTACCATCCTCCTCTCCTTGTTCTCTTGCTCTTTCTCTTCTTTCTTCTCCCAAGATTTCTCTTTCTATTTATTCTCTCTGCCTGCCAGCCCTGCCTATCCTTTCTCCTGTCTCGCTATTGACTGTCCAGCTCTCTATCAGACCATCAGGTGTTTTAAACAGGTACAGTAACACAGTTCCACAGAATTAAACAATATTCTACAACAGGGCTCTTGAGAGCTGGATTTTGAAGGCTATATAGGATCCCACCCGGTAGAAAAGGAGGATGGGAGCTCCAGGCCAAAAGATCTGGGGTCTGCTCTACCGCTTTCAACAGATGTTGATTCAACACAGATATCTGTCAGGCACGGCTGTGGATGCAGAAGCAACAAGGCACAGCCCGATCCCCAGAGAGCTAGCCTAAAAGACAGAAATGAGCAAGAAAGTTCAAATGGCATGGTGAGTTCAAGTACAGCGGTGCACGGCAGGGTGAGCTCTGAGCTCATGGTCCACTGCGGCAAAAGGCAGAAGGGGGCTAATGGAGGAGCCTATGGAAGGTGAATCTTGAAGGATGAGTTACATGGCCAGACAAAAGGGCAGCCTGAGGGGAGGCAGTAAGCGGTGGAAAGAGGATGGGGTGTTGAGAGAGTCTGAGAGTGGAGATGGAGTTTCCCAGAAAGCAGGCTCCAGGCCGAGGAGCGGTAGGTCCGTTACCATCAGTGTGCTTGCTAGCGTATGGCTTCATCCCCAAGGGGATGTCCAAGAGCTTAGCAAATGCAATGGCCTTTGAGACTCCTGGGCAGGTCTACCAGACACGATGCGGCCAGAAGCTGAAAGAGATGAAATAAAACAAAGAAGGGTAGAGGCAGAATCCAGTCACAGGGACCAGCTTGTCTCCAGATGAGTGTAAATGTGGGTGCAGGGCAAGAGTGACAGAAGGAACTAGGGGTGGATGTGACCGAAGTATGTTATCCGCACATGAGAGTGCCATCATGAAACACATTATTTTACACAATTACTATATTCTAATAAAAGTTCTCTGTGTGGTCCTGGTTGTCCTGGAACGGGCTTTGTAGACCAGGCTGGCCTTGAACTCACAGAGATCCACTTGCTTCTGCCTCTTGAGTGCTGGGATTAAAGGCGTGCGCCACCGCCGCCGCCACCACCACCACCCCCCCCCCCCCAGCTAATAAAAGATTCTTAGATGTGGCCAGGACACAAAGACAGAAAGGTCATATCTATTGGATAGAAACTATCCTGATTCTAAACTGTAGACTTTTGATCTCTATGCTTGGGTTCAAAGAAGATCTAAAGATTTAAGGGGCAAAAATGTCTTAGTCTGGATTAATAAACACGTGTTCGCAGCCGTACTTTCAGAGACTAATAAGGGCTCTGGGGGTGTCCTGGGGATCCTGGTGTGTGCTTTGGGTGTATTGTGGATCCTGATGTGTGTTTTGATTCCCCAGGGCCAGGAAGGAGTACTGGCAGAATCTTCGGATAGCTTCTGGCAGACCATACAACCCTTCAATGTCCAAGCCAGATGCCTGGGGAGTGACCAAAGGGACCTCGGAGTTGATGCAGCAGAAGGAAGCCACCAGTGAGCAGCAGCTGAAGGAACTCTTTGAGAAACAGAAGTTCAAATCTGCACAGTAGCTGCAGGGCCACCATTTGGGGTGAATTCTTCTCTGTCTGGGCCACAGTGTACACAGAGAAGGAAGAGGTGGCTGAAAGGCAACGCTTGTGCCCATACCAGCCTGTACCTATGCTTGGCATTAGCTAGACAAAATAGAATCACGCGTAGCATTTTACAGTTATAAGAGGATGCTCTAGAAGTATACTAGAAACCAAGAGAAGAAAAGTCCACAGTAAATCCTAAACAGATTTTCTAAGTGTCTGCCATGTTAACAGACATTCCAGAGATCACTGCAGCAAAAAGACAAGTCACTCAGATGTTAACCCCACTTCAGGTAGGAGGATGGGACACAGTAGCCACTTAGGGACCACATCATAAACTGCACAGCAACCAACTTTATCTAAGATGCTACTAGCAGTGAACCACGGGGTCTTTGGAGTATGACCCTTGTTAAGAAACATTTTATGTAATAGCCCTGTAAAACAGAACATAGAACCACAAGGAAGAAATGAATAATCCATTCTGGAATTTCTGTTCTATCCCTTTCCATCCCATTTCATTAATAAAGACACGCTGGTTGAAAAGCTTCAAGGCAATTTTTTTGTGGCCCATTGATGGTTTTGATTAATGCTATGGAACACTTCAGATACGGGGCCCACCCAAGGTAAATATATCAGAGAAAACCAATCATATGGGACTAGAATAATTGAAAAAAAAGAGAGATGTGGCCAAGTGTGCTGGCTGCATCATCAGGGGTCTCTAGAGGAATAGAAGTCATAGGATGAATCCATATTTATGAAGAGGGGATTTATTACAGTGGTTTTATGATTTATTACAGTAGTTTACAGGCTGTGGTCTGGCCAGTCCAACAATGGCTGTCTCCCCAGTTCACAAGGCTGGGTATCTCAGCTGGTCTTCAGTATACATTGGAATCCCAAAGAAGTGGGTTCCACCAGCAAAGGCATGCCTCAGATGAACCTGCCAGTGAGAGTGAGGGCAAGCAGGCAAAGAGCAAAGGCTTCCTTCTCTCATGTCCTTTTATGTGGGCTTCTACAAGAAGTTACGGTTCACATTTAGAGTGGCCCTTCTGACCTCAAATGATCCAGATACGGGGTGGCTTTTCCCACTCCAAATGATTCCCTTCACAGGTGTGCCCAGTTGCGTTGGTTTTAGTGGATGCCAGATGTGCTAAAGTCCACAACTAAGATTAGTCATGGAGGTGGCTCATGCCTTTTAGTCCCAGCAATCAAGATGCTGAGGTAGAAGTAGGAGGATTTCTGGGAGTTCCAGACTAGCCTGGTCTCCTTACCAAGTTCGAAGCCAGCTAGAGCTGCATAGTGAGAGCCTGTCTCAAAAAAAAAAAGTAAATATTAAAAAAAAAGAAGACAGGGCTGGAGAGATGGCCCAGTGGTTAAGAGCACATGTTGAGTGTGTGTGTGGGGGGGAGGTGTGAGACCATCTCCTGGAGCATAAGTAGCCAATCAAGGACCATATCCCTAAAGAGAACCGATTCTTCAAGCCGTCAATTGCCAGTGAGTGGCTCCTCAGCCAGGGGTGGGGCTTCATGAGTCCCTCCGGAATTGCTGTGATCTTCGGTTAGATTGATCATGTGTAGGTCCTGTGCATGCAATCACAGCCACTGTGTGCCGTCGCTTGTTACAACCAGAAAATTCTGCCGTGCTAACTAGTTTTATGTCAACCTGATAGTCATTTAGGAAGAGGGAACCTCAATTGAGAAAATGCCCCCCCCCAGACTGGCCTGTGGACAAACCTGAGGGATTTTCTTAATTGATTTATTGATGTGGGAGGGCCTGCCCATTGTGTGTGATGCCAACCCTGGACAGGTGGTTCTGGTGTATCTAAGAAAGAAAAGTGAGCAAGCCAGTAAGCGCAGTGCTCTTCCATGGCTTCCACATTAGTTCCTGCCTCTAGGTTCCTGCCTTGAGTTCCTGCCCAGACTTCAGGATGAAATAAACCTTTTCCTTTCCAGATTTTTTTTTTTTAAATTTAAATCATGGTCTTTTACCACAGCAATGGAAATCCTAGACATGCTGTATCCTGGCAAGCATTCACTCCTTCTGGTTGTTAAAACCTCTCCACACCCTCTTTTCTGGTCCTACCTGAGCCTGAGGGGGAAGGGAGGGAGAAAAACGTGTTCCGTTGGGGCCGAACACTCCACAGTCCGATCAGAAAGCGATCGGTTACTTTCACAGCATTTGCGACACTTTCGCACCCCGGGGCCGATCTCGCCAGGCCGTTTGTTATTGTACTTCCAACTGTAACCTTTTTCAACTGTTAAAAAAGAGCGGCGACCCCCGCCCCCTTCCCCAGCAGTCATCATTTGTGTGCACCCAAGCACATCCTGGCCGCACTTAGGCACTCTGCCGGTTTAAAAAAGAACACATGGAGTTGAGAGGGGAAAGTGGAAGCAGGGGCATGGAGGAAGCTAGGGAGGAGGGAGGAGGGGTGGGTTTCATCAAGACACACTGCATGTGTGCATGAAATTGTTAAGCAATAAAAAGGCAAATGTGAGCAGTGAGGCTGTCTTGATTAAACTTGATTCACTGCAGTTCTGTAATTTTAGTCTTGTATAAAATCTCTACACCTCAATTTCCCCATCTATAAAAAAATAGCAATTTTTATTTCACAGGGATGTGTATGAAGGGAAAAGAAACTTCTAGAATTTTCTGGGAGTTAAATCCCCTGCTCCCAGAACATGGATCTAAAACAGCACACCTTTCAGAGAGAGCCAAGTAAGAGTGGGCCCCCCGTTTTTCTTTGCCACCTGGTGTCTCTTATGTTTCTCATATTCTCAAGCCAAGTTCAGTATTTTTCCATCTTAGATGATAGAAACGCTACCAGACTTACAGTTGTCTTACTCTGAAAAATGTATTCCCCTTTAATATTCTTTCCAGAACTTTATTACTGCACAAAATATTACAGTCTTTCATCATTCTTATATCCTTTGATTTAAAAAAAAAATCTCATGAGAAGGAACAATGATGATGAAGCTATTCTTGAACTGTATATCAACACTGTCTCCTAGTGGCAGGCTTCACTGTTGGACTTTTTTTTTTTTTAATTTAGCCCCTCCTCCTCCAAGCACATATTGCTTCCAAACTCTTGTTCATTACAAGAGAAGGCTCATTTAATGCCTCAGTTTATTTGAGTTAAATAGATGTTTCTTTCCAGTAAAGGGTTTTGTTTTTTTATTTTTATTTTAGTGGAACCAGAGCCCAAGGTAGCTTAGACATCAAAGTCCAAACGCTCCCTTTTAAGGGCAGGATTTCCAAGGCGGGATGCCAAGTCAGGAAACTCTCCTTGCTAGTCCAAGGCGGCCAAGAAGGATGGTGTAGTTAACTCAGCCCCACAGGAGAGTGGAATCAAAACAGATGGTTCATGAAGCTAAGGAGACATCCCTTGCCCCAGGAAATAAAAATCCCTGGAGTTACTGGGATTTGGCATAAACCGAATCAACTTTTCAGATTATGGTCTGGCATTTCTTCACATGTCTGCAAAACACGTCTGCATAGGACAGCCAAGCAAATGCAGAGGCATAGGGATCTGGGAACTGGACTGGAACAGATCAGAACTTCAGTTCCCAGCGTCTCCAGATGGGGGCAGCAGCTCGCCAGCAGGGACTACCTGAGAAGCCCTGGCTTTGCTTTGAAGAGCTGTTTCATCAACACAGATTCATGTTACTTGGCAGAAATGTCCGTATCCCTTTTTGTTTTGGTCACTTTCTTTCCAGCCCTAAGACATGTGAATCTTTGACTAACATCCAGGACAACTAACCCAGCAAGGAAAGCCCTTATATGTCTTCAACTAGATTCCCTAGAATTCTCCCCTGCTGTGAGCATGCTCACGTGCTTGTCAACTTTACAGACTGTTTTTCCCAAACAGCTGCCCGTTACCCAACAACGTGCCCTCAGCCAGTCTGGAACTTCTCACAAGCTGCTTGCTAGGTCAACGACTCTGAAACAAGGAGAAAGTCAGCTTGAAGGAGGAAAAGCACCCGGGAGCGGCGTCGCGAGTAAGCATGCATGGTCCTGTGTGAAAGAACTAAGGACCCAGCATCTTCATAACGAATGTTCAACATCCCAACCACAACAAAACACGGAAGACATCCGAATGCAAGACTTGGTTACAAACGGCCATAGGCAGGGCGGGGCACCTTGTGGAAACTGACCGGCTCACAGCTGGGGGAAGTAACAGCTGCAAATGCTTCCCGTTGGAAAGCAGCTCCAGGCACTCCTGCGACCTTGGAGAGGGGACAACGTAAAGGTGGAGAGTGAGGGGACAGGTGTCTTCGCTGCACCGCTATGAGCTACGAGAATAGCGCCAAACTGGTCAAGCACAGCAGAGCCATAACATGAGAGACAGAGACAGAGACCCACAGACAGGGAGAGACAGACTAGCCAGACTGAGAACTGCATTTTACCCTCTTGAGAATTCAAAGCTGATCACACAAGAGTCTTAGGACAAAGGTGGCCATCCTTAATGTAAGAGTTCGTGTTGTTTTGTAAATAAATGGACTAGTTGGGTGGTTCTGATTCTTTTTTTTAGCTATTAAAATTGAACACATTGAGTGTGCTGTTGAAGCCCTATAATCGCAATCCTGAGGGAGCCTGAGCTGGAAGCATCCTGAGTTGGAGGCCAGCCTTGGCTCCATAGGGAAACCAGATCTCAAAATACAAAGGAAAAAGTGGGGGAGGAGGGGGAGAAGGGGGAGGGACGGTGGAATGGGAAGTGCTAAGTTGTATTTGATTATCATTTTAGCTTTATAGTTTGTCCTTAAATTTGATTAATTTAGATGCCATTAAACTCGTGATAATTTTAATGAGGTATTTGACTTACGTTTATTTTTAAATCTGTGAGTTTCCCATGTACATTTTTTACATGAGAATAATATTTATTTATTTATTTGGTTGGTTGTTTTTGTGGGTTTTTTGTTTTGTTTTGTTTTTCATGCCTGGTTTCTCTGTGTAGTTTTGGTGCCTGTCCTGGAATTGGATTTGTAGACCAGGCTGGCCTGGACCTCACAGAGATCCACCTGCCTCTGCCTCCTGAGTGCTGAGATTAAAGGTGTGCACCACCATGCCCAGAGAAAATAAGTTTCAAGGGAAATAGTTAGCTTACTTTTAACAAAAATATGTTTCTCCAAATTCCTAAAATATCTTTGGCAATCACCAGTTACACCCAAATTATTAAGTGCTATTTATAGGGTGCATAAATGTGTGTTGTTTTTTCAGGGGGTTCAGTTAGACCTACGTGTCCCCATTCTATGTTTTAATTTACCACAACGCCTTGAAAGGAAGAAGCTGAAAATCTTTTTTAAATAGCTCAAACCTTTCTCCAGCTCAGCCGGGCCTTTCTTCCAATTATTTGGACTTAATGAGATTTTACTGTTCTTTGCAGAGGCTGATGTCACGAACATCTGAACCAGCTTGGTGGGACTCAGCCATTTCTCAAAAACACCAGGGCAATGCAACAGGAAAAAAAAAAAGTAACGGATGCCTTTAGAGTCAGGAGTTTGGGGGCACCCGTTCAGGCTCTGCTCTTCCTTGTTGTGAGAGGTCCAACAAG